CACTCTCACACTCACTCTCTCACTCACTCACACTCTCTCTCTCTCTCTCTCACTCACTCACTCTCTCTCTCTCACACTCTCTCTCACACTCGCTCACTCTCTCACACTCTCACTCACTCTCTCACACTCTCACTCACTCTCTCTCTCTCACACTCACTCTCTCACTCACTCACTCACTCACACTCTCTCTCACACTCACTCTCTCACACTCACTCACTCACTCACACTCTCTCTCACACACTCACTCACACTCTCTCTCACACACTCACTCACACTCTCTCTCTCACACTCACTCACTCTCTCACACACTCACTCACTCTCTCACACTCACTCACACACTCACTCACTCACTCTCTCACACTCTCACACTCTCTCTCACACTCTCTCACTCTCTCGCACTCTCACACTCTCTCACTCACTCACTCACACTCTCTCTCACACTCACTCACTCTCTCTCACTCACTCTCTCTCTCACTCTCTCACACTCACTCACTCACTCACACTCTCTCTCTCACTCTCGCACTCACTCACTCACTCGCACTCTCACACTCACTCTCTCACACTCTCTCTCACACTCACTCACACTCTCTCACACTCACTCTCTCGCACTCTCTCACTCTCTCACACTCTCTCGCACTCTCGCACTCACACTCTCTCACTCACTCACTCACACTCTCTCTCACACTCACACTCTCTCTCACACTCTCACTCACTCACTCACTCACACTCTCTCTCACACACTCACTCACACTCTCTCTCACACTCTCGCTCACTCTCTCACACTCACTCACTCACTCGCACTCTCACACTCACTCTCTCACACTCTCTCACACTCACTCACACTCTCTCACACTCACTCTCTCACACTCTCTCACTCTCTCACACTCTCTCGCACTCTCGCACTCACACTCTCTCACTCACTCACTCACACTCTCTCTCACACTCACTCACACACTCTCTCTCGCACTCTCACACTCTCACTCACTCTCTCTCACTCACTCACACTCTCTCTCACTCACTCACACTCTCTCTCACTCTCACTCACTCACTCACTCACTCTCACTCTCTCACTCACTCTCTCACTCTCTCTCTCACTCACTCACACTGATCTTATGGAGGCGTTCGTCTGATTACAGGGAATAACAAAGTGAGAACAGGAGAGGCGGTTTTGGCTGCTTGCTAACATATTTGGCTTCAAACTGAAAAGTGTGTGTGTGTGTGTGTGTGTACACAAGCTGTGTGGTGAAGATATTCTGGAACAGAAATGAATGAGGGATGAGATGCTTGTTAATTGGAGCTGTGATTACTGATTGTCCTCAGTATCGCTTTTCTTCTCGTTCCTTTCCTTTCATGTCAGGTTGATAGAATGATATGGATGATGATTTTATATATTTCTCAGCCCTTTGTGCAGATCCCAACCAACGGTGAATGTATCCACTGTGTGGGTGGGTGGGTGGGAGATGCCTCTTCTTCCTCTGTCCATAGAAACACATAAAAACACATCAGTGAGCCTCACTGTTGCTCTGGTGACATGTTCCTTCATCACCATGAACACACACATTGCAGTTTGTTCTGACTCAATCCCACATATACCGTCCTGCTCTTACCAATACTCAACAGAACAAAATGTGAATTAATCTGCTGCTGAAAATGGTTCTCAAAAAATGCACTATTTCCTCCTGTAGAAACGTTTGAGATATATATATATATATATATATAAAAACACCAAGAAACGTGATGTGGTGCAGTGGTGAGTCCTTGCTAGCTTGGCTGTGTCCACAGTTCAAAAATACATCTACCAGAACCTCTAGTGTTCACTGATTAGCACATCCAGCTATCTTATCTTGTTTTATCTCATTTGTTATATCCATACACAGAAATGTAAATACAATGTTTGTGGTTTGAGGGGGAGTCAGGTGCAGTGAATAAATGCAGCTTCCTGGAGTCTTGTCATCCCAGTGAGGTTGCCAGGTTTGGTATCATCATATCAAGTAACCTACACTGTAGCTGGAGACGCCGCACAGAAGTGCTAGGTGGGTGGATACAATATTGTCCAGAATAAATTTATCCAGCACCTAACTCCTCCTAAATCCACAAATGATCATGTTTTACATTTCTGTTGGTGTATATATCAAACACACAATTATTAAGCTTTATGGGTTGAAATATGTTTGAACTTTGGACGGAGTAAGCTAGCTTTTTGCCCCTCTTTATGCTAAGCTTGGCTTACTACGTCTTGACTCCAACTCTCTACTTAACACCAGGTGGCAACCTTCGGTTCTGAAGCGAAACAAATGCTGAATGGTCTTGACCTTGCATTCTCTCTAGTGTCCACCAGGGGGCGACTCCTCTGGTTGTATAGAAGTCTATGAGAAAATGACTCTACTTCTCTCTTGATTTATTACCTCAGTAAACATTGTAAACATGAGTTTATGGTCTCAATCTCTAGTTTCAAGTCTTCTTCAATACAGCATGATGTTCATTTAGTACATTATGGTCCATTTAGAGTCAAACAGACCATAAAGCAGGGGATGCTTTAGGGCGGGGCTACACAGTGATTGACAGGACTCTACAGCTAACAGAGACGTATACTGTACAGCGTCTCTATGTAACTCCTCCACAGTCCAAATATGGTCACTTTCCTTCACTGGTTGCAAAAAGCCAAGATGGTAACGACCAAAAGGCCAAACTCGAGGCTTCAAAATGTCAGTCCACAGACTAATGTGTGACTTCACAACGACTACATCCACTTCTTGTATACAGTCTATGCTTAACACACAGAGAAAGTATTCATATTCGATAAAATGTTGAACTTTTCTGTTACAATCCCTTATAATCTACCAGGTTTGTTGGGATTGTAATGAGAGGTCTTTTCTTCAGGTCTACAGGCCGTGTAATATGTTCTTGTCTGGGACTTAAATGTTCTGTCAAAGCTTTACACGTCATTTGTCCTTTTGACTTTGCTCACTCTTCGCTCTGCTCAGAATCATTGTATGTAATAAGCAGGTTCCTCACTGCCTCTTCTTTCTCTCTAGCTTCGTCCTTCCTAAAGCAGGCGCTGGAGGGAGAGTATCCCAAGCTGTTGCAACTGTACAACGAGCTGTGGCGCCGCCTGCAGCAGTACAGCGCCAGCCTGCAGGGGGCGCTAACAAGCAGCGGAGGTATGGACACATCTCTGGACATCACCGCCACAGAGACTGACAGCCAGGACCTCTTCACACACGGAACACAGGACTACAAGTGAGCAGACACCATATATAATATATATGATATTATTGAACAAGCCCTTGTATGTTTCTAAAATACATTGCCTACCCTAGCTTTCATAAGTGATGTGTAGAATCCCAGCCTTGCGCTACTTTACACACAGAACATTGAGTTGCAGAAAGAACACCCTGTTAAGTCTCGGTAGTGGAGTTGGTGTCAGGAGAGAAGAAATGTGATCGGTGCATCTGTAGTTGGAGAGACGGAGAATGAGAAGAAGGTGGGAGGGAGAACTGTGAAATGAAGCAGGAGCAGAGAAGGAGGAGACACTGAGGAACAGAGGAAAGATGTAACAGGTGGATGGAGAGGGAGAGGGAGTGAAGAAGTGGTGACAGAAACAAAGTATTTCCTTGTATGAGCATGAATCACGGGAGCATGTGCACTGGTGCTTGTAAGCACGTATGTTAGACAAGAGTACCTGTACGCACCAGTCGATCAAGCTGCTGGCTGAAAACAAGACAGGAGAGGTGCAGCATGTCACAAACACACTTCACATCACAAGCACTGATGAAAACTACACACTGTTTGAACAGTTCCTCCCTCTATCATACTGATTTTGAGTCATGAGATAATGACGTTGAATGCAGTGCATGCACACACACACCTCTTGTAGCATATGTGCACTGAATTTTAATAGGTTGAGACATTTAGGTGCTCCATTAATACATGTCAGCACAGATATTCAAGCCAATTAGAGGATATAATAAGTCAACACGTGACAATAATTAGATTGTGGGTATTGTTATTCCATGATAGATTTCACATGTTGAACTCAGTCAAGTCATGTATTTTCTGATTTTGATGTCTATTATGGCTCAGTCACCATACCTATATCACTCATAATGGTTTCTCAAACATTTATTGTCTGTTAATATCTTAACACGCACATCAGTTCAGTTTGTGCTCTCTGCATCTTTTTGGAATTATTGTGTGGGTGTGTGTGTGTGTGTGTGTGTGTGTGTGTGTGTGCGCGTGTGCGCGCAGCCCAGAGAAGGCTCTGAAGGACTCTCTGCAGCCGTACGAGGCCGCCTACCTTTCCAAGTCGCTCTCTCGCCTGTTTGATCCCATCAACCTCGTGTTCCCTATGGGCGGCCGCAACCCTGCCTCCAACGACGAGCTGGACAGCATCATCAAGACCATCAGCAGGCAAGCACAGCACATGGCAGTTTGTCTGCCTTGGCTTCAACCACCATGAGCTTGTGTTCCCCCTCACTGATACAGGGCCATATTCTGTTAAAATGTCACCATGTCTGTTAATGAACTTTATCTACAAACCCAGATAGTGACACAGTGACACCAAAACAGTATAGTAGAGAGACACGTTCTATTCACAAACATGGAACTGTTGTACAGAAAATATAAAATGTGACAGACATTTATGAATGTATTAGTATCAGGATGTAATTGTAAAATATGAAACTATTTGCATTATTAACAGTGAAATGAGGCTTTAATGTGTTAGGCATTTTCAATGATGATTGAGGCCATTTTGTCTGGGCGACTGTGGCTAAGTGGAGAGCAGGGCGTCCTTCAATCAGAGGGTCGGTGGTTCGATCCCCAGCTCCGGCTCGAGCGAGACACTTAACCCCAAAAGTGCTCCCGTAGCTGTGTGAGTGAGATAGAATCTGAGTTTTAAGTCCCTTTAGATAAAAGCGTTTGCTAAATGAATGTAACATAACAAATACATTTATGTAGATTGTAAGATTCTTCTCATTCTGTCTTCATGATCTGACCAAAAAACACATTATTATTCCCTAACCTGCAAATACACACACAGTTGGTACCCATATTTAAAAAACACATGAGATGAATCATTATTGATTGACATTATGCACCCAAGCAACAGTTGAACTACAAACATACTGTATAGCTTACACTTGATCACTTCCAGGTTACATGACTTTAATGTCCTGTTTGTTTCTAGTGAGCTGAATGTGGCGTCAGTAGATCCAAAGCTCTCTCTGGCTGTGTCCAAGAATGCTGCTAAGACCGTCCAACTCTTCTGTGTCAAGTCTGAACAACTGGTGTGTACAGCATTGTGTGTGTGCATGTTGGTCAGTCTAACATTCTGAGATGGACCCACTATGTGTCCATAACACAGCAGGAAAGTGTTTGAATGGATGGATAAAGCAACACTGTTGTGTGTATCCTGTGTCCGTACCATACACTGGCTCCCTGTGTGTCCCTTTGTCTGCAGCTGTGCACTCAGGGGGAGGCCAGTCAGGTGATTGGTCCATTGACAGAGGGCCAGAGGAGGAATGTTACTGTGGTCAACTCCCTTTATCGTCTGCAGCAGGCCATCGCCAAGGTAGGAGGCTGCAAGAAATACTTTGTACTGAACAAACACACCTGCACATGTGTTCGGTTATGTCAAGACTGCAGTAGCTTTATAACTTCAGCTGTCATGATCAGACCTAAAGAGAAATGTTACTATAGCACTGTGGTAATTTTTCTCATTTGATCACTAAGATCTCACCACAATCATTTCTTTAGTGATTTTGATGTTAAGCTTGCTTTCCCACTTTATAAGAATCGTGAAAATGTTAGGTTTAGAATTAGTGTTGATGTGTAATGTACATGCTTATGAAGTTTTTAACTGAAGATCCAGTAGCCTCCAGACGAACCAGTAAACATTAGCATCTATAAGAGATACTACCCTGAGCCTCCCACTCAGCACTGATCCTATTCGTTTGTTTCTGTTTAAAGGAGATGCACTTATGACTTCTGGTGACTAGTAGTTCTCTTGAATACATATGTTGAGTACACTTATTGTAAGTCTCTTTGGATAAAAGCGTCTGCTTGTTACCTAACGTCCACCGTCGTACACATCACATGTGGTCATACTGATGACGCGTCAGCTTGTGGCAGTAATTCAACATGTCTTACTCCACAGATGTAGCGTTGCATTGTTGGACTAAAGATGGACAGTTTTTAAAAACGGATCAAAATCAATGCAGCAGATACTCTCTTTTTTTATTCCACACATTCTTCTTCCTTGTTCAAATCTGGAGCATACATTACCCACAATGCAACTGGACCAGTCAGAGATTTACTTGAGGACAATCATCAGATTACACACACAGCTCCCTCTGGAGCCACAGCAGGCTCTATACAACGTGTTCACCGTGGTGTGCGAGTGGGTGACGTGCATCCCATAACTTCACTTCTGTTCTGGCTTTGCTTCCTGTCTACATCTCTGCTGCAATTAATCAAATGAAGGCAGAAATGCTGCCCTCAATAATGTCTTCCAGAAACAAATAAAGCAAACGAGAATAAAACATGTGCTGAATATTCAGAGTTTCAAAAGTTCAATCAAATTCAATATTTTGAAAGTATTATAGGGCTGCACTAAACAGAGGACAACATTCTAGAGACTGATCTCAGTAGAATGTTGTTCTGGTGTTCTGGTACATAAAGTGAAAGATGCAGCAAGTTCATGTGTCTGTACTGTTGTTTCTTTAACCGTGTACAGGTGATGTCTTTATCTTCATGGTTTCAGTGGTGCCCTGTTGAAAGCGATACACAAATGTATAGATGTTCAACCTTGTCAGATTTCCATCAGGACTCTTCTGCTTATTCAGACATGGGTCAACATATTCAACTGTCATCACAATTATATAACAAGGTGCCGTCTGACAGGAGCCTAAGACGTATGTACTAATGATCTTTATGCAAATACACATTTTATGTTTCTCAACTGCACACCACCAGGCAGATGAGAACATCAACAACTAGCTACATTCTGTAAAGAAAGCAAAGCATCAGATATGAGTGAGCAGGTTGGAGGCTATCAATGGATTATTGCTACTTGCTGAATCAACTTTAATGAATTGCAGAAAGAGGCTTTTGCATATGTTTGCATGTAGCTATGAGATAGATTAGATTCGATAGCATCAGTGTGGTTTACTGCACCTTTCTATCAATAGTAGCATGTCTCCTTGGTTCCAGTGTGTAGTAATTGGTAATTAGTTAACTACATTTGTCATCGCACACATTAGCCCACACAGCGTTCTAACTGTGTGTGTGTGTAACTGGACGCTTACCTTCCTAATGCATAGAGATGTAGCGTGGACACACAAATGCATGTACATGACAAGAAGCCAAGGAGGTTACAGAACAGCAGGGTGCAGTGTGTTCCTTCAGCGTCCTTCATCAAACATGTATGGTGTGTCCTGGCACAGCAGCCGGGATGATTGATAGCATCAAGAAACAGATTACTCCAACAATAAATATTTGACCTCAAGTCTTTAGAATGTGATTGTGTGAGAATCTATTCCAGACAGGCGGAGGGAGGGAGGAAGACGGGATGTTAAATAGGAAATCAAATCCAGATCCTTTTAGTGCTCGCTGTTTTTATATTATGTAGCAATAGCTCAAATATTCTTGACCTCTCTGTGTTGAATAACTTTAGACCACTTTCACATCTCCCTTTTATCAACTGAAGAAGCTCTATAGACTTCATTAAAGAGCTTCCTTCTTTGCTGTCCTTTCTTGACACATGCAGTTAGTTTCTGCAATGGCCCTCAACTGGTTTCTTTCTTAGATGCACCAATTGATCAGCCAGGACCTTTTGATTGGCCCGTCGGTTGATGTAGACGATTCTGTGCCGGTCAAGTTTACATGCGTGCACCTCTTGATGGCTCACCTTGCACAATCAGTGGCATAGATATTGACTGACTAGTATCACAGCCACACACACACACACAGTGTTGCCAACTTGGCAACTTTCTTGCTCAATGTTGCAACTTTCCTTAGCGACTTTATTGCTAAAAAAACAACTGGAGACAAATTAGATTATTATAGTTCTTCGAAAGAAGTTGGAATCAGAATAGAGAAGAAACCCTTTTTATTGTCATATACACATACACGAAATTTGACCTCTGCATTTGACCCATCCCTGTATATAGGGAGCAGTGGGCTGCCAATGACAGGCGCCCGGGGAGCCGGGGGTTCAGTGTCTTGCTCAGGGACACTTCGACACGTGGCACGTCCCAGTCGAGGATCGAACCGTTGACCCTGCGGTTACCAGACAACCCTCTTAAGCCAGTGAGCCACGGCCCCATCAGCAGTTTAGACATTAAAAAAAAATTGGAAATTGGAAGTCTGAGATAATTGCAACCACTGCATCTCTTTTCCTTACTTTTGTATTTAACAGGGAGACCGTTTTCTGTAAGCGTTGGTGAGAATGTTTTCAGTACCATATGACAGTTCCACAATGTGCCATACATGCTCATTCTTTTATTATATATGCTTCCGTGCTCCTAAAATAAACAACATGGTATAAAAATTCCTACTTATGCAGATGACACAAGACTGCATATCTCCAGCACCGATGTTCCCAACAGTTTAAAAAAATGTAACAGACTGTTTATACGTCATTTTATTGCAATTTGGGTGTGTGACAACTGGTTGAGATTAAAGAGGTACTCCAGCAATTCACTCTTTCACTTCCACAGTGTAACACACCTGTCGCTGTGTGACAGCTGTGCTACAAAAAGTTACTTTGTTACTTTGCTACTTTGTTTATCTCTTCAATGATGCAACGAAGCGTGGACCAATCAGATGTTTTTGTTTCTCCCTGGTTGTGTGTGTCCCCAATTAATCTAAATCTTTGATGTTTTTTACACCCCTTGATGCAGACTTCTTTGAGCTGTATTTTATTTGCGTACGGTGCTATACAATTATAGGTCATTATGTTTTGCGTTATTTTCCTCTAAATCTTTGATTTCCTTTTTTTTGTATTTGCAGATTATTTTAGGATTGGCGTCATGTCCACCAGTGGCTGCAGAGGCTCTCTCTTCTTCTTTGGAGGTATCACAATTTTGCATTCAATTTACACTAGTTTAGTTTGTATATTTATCATGAAAGCTATGACTATCATTATGACACAAAGTTTCGTTATGCACACTTGTATGGTAGAAGATGAACTGTGTATTTTGCCAGCTGCAGAACTGCAATAACATAATCACAGAAAACGTCTACTTTATTGTAATGGAACTTTTTGTCAATTTGTAAAAGACCTGAAGCTCAAAACCTTTTATCATAACTGTGAATTAGAGGGCTTCACAATCTGTACAAGATACGACCCGCGGCAGTCCAGGCCTATAGAAGCTTATCTAGTGGCTGGTGCTAGGCAAACCTGAGCCGGCCCCAACTATGAACCTGAGTCGACCCCAACTATGAACCTGAGTCGGCCCCAGCTATCAACCTGAGTCGGCCCCAGCTATCAACCTGAGTCGGCCCCAGCTATCAACCTGAGCCGGCCCCAGCTATCAACCTGAGCCGGCCCCAACTATCAACCTGAGCCGGCCCCAAC